CAACATGAAGATGAAATTGTACGCGTATAACTTTTATTTAATCTTAAAGATATGACCCTCAAACGCCATCATCCGACGCTAATCAACCAATCATTGGAATCAGTCACGCGGTTCATGGTATCAGCAGTCATCAGCGAACACTAATATGCAAACACAACGTTTATCGATAGGCCATAGCGCGAGCTTCCTGCAAACCTTTTGGCAGCGTTCACAGAAACTACCAGTTCGAATCTGATGATACCCTGGCTGCAGCGTTAGGACTGTTTGATTTGTCAAACAGTTTTATGAACCATATTTCGCAATGAAATTGGCGAAAGTCATTATTCATATGCCTTGACGAGGAATATATTAAAGCGAGCAAGAAACCTCATTTCCAGGAAAATTCAGGCTGGAATGGCAGTGGGCCGTGCTGCTGACCCACTGTGAACTACTTTCAACAAATCATGATGCACAACGGGGACATTTTCCTGGTGACTCTCGAACTCGATTCACGACCTTCCCCGAGGCAAGGGGAACACACTGCAAAATCGGGCAGAAATCTGGTTCAATCACTTTAAATTTTTCCTGTTGAATGTAGGTAGCATATCTCGCTTACTTAAACAGCAAACTCTGCTGCAGTGTCTTTGATTCACGTAGTGAGAACTTGTGGAGGACCAGAGAAGCACTCGCATCAGCCGTCATGTCGATGCCAAGTACAGCATGCGCTTTGTTTGTGATCGTTAGCGTTTTGCTAAACGTTCTCGCCGTCAAGAGCGTAAACATCTCTGCAGGAAACTCGCAAAAGCCTCGATCGAATTTCTTTGCTGGCTATGGAGCTCCACCTCAAGCTGCCTACGGTCAGGTCGCGTCTGTTCATTCTCTACCACACGGTTACTCTCCTCAAGTTGGCCTCGAGGTGACTGCTTCACCGCCCGCTGTTTATTCGCAACATCATTCGAAAAATCCCGCAGGCGGTAAATTCGAAATGACAAATCCCTTCCAGACCAACACGATCAATGTCCTCATGGCTACAGTAGCCGATGGATGCGGTGGCAGGATCCAGCAAGCGGGATGTGAGCCGTCACCAACGAATGTCGAAAGCCCTGTTGAAACGAATGTTGAGTCGACCCGGCCAGTGGAAGAACCGAAATACTACGGTAGTCAGCACTATGGTTCGAGCCCATATGCTGGGCATGTTCCTCAACAGAACATCCAACCTTCTCAGGCAAAGCCATCCGTGGTATCGATGCAGATTTTTCCGGCGACCGAACAGCAGTATACGGCCATGAAACCGCACCAGCCGCAGCC